ACACATGGTGGAGGAAAGGGATGAAAAATCAAGTGGTAAGGTTTGTTTGTAAAAGGTAAGAACAGATGAAGGACTGCGGAGAGACTGTCATATTACAAATCTTGTCTTCTACTCTGATGAAAATCAGAAATCATTCCTGAGTTTAGGAAAAGAAAACACTGGCATAGAAAACCCTCTGAGAAGCATTCTGCTGACCTTGCTAACTGGATAGGTAGATAAAATGAAAGGGCAATGTTAGGAAGATAATTAACTACTTGCAGTAATTGTGAAAAGAGTTGTCTCGGACAAGAGAATGGAAATATTGAGATGTAGAACTCTGTATAAAGTCAAAGGATCAGAGGTGCTATTTGCAGTTACATGCACGGTCACACTAGATAGGACACATTTAGAGAGGTACAATTTTGAAATATAGGGTGTTTTTTTTTTGCCATTTTTGCGCTGAAAGAGGTAAAGAAAATAAAACCAAAATTGGATGGATAGGGAGTTGGGAATGATCTGGGAAGAATTGGGTGAGAAAAAAGACAACATGATTAAAATATATTATGTGACAATTTTTTCATTAAAACAAGGAAAAAAAGATAAAAGACCATAAAGGACTCTAAGAACTTGGAGGCATCATCTCGTTAGAGGTCAGTGCTGCACCAGCGGTGGGGCAGATATTAGGTGCAACAGACTCATATGTTTGATTGAAAATGCATGGCTATTTTCTTGACATGTCATCTATAAGATCCTCTTATTAAGAAGCAGCCTTCCGTAAGATTCCCAGAGAAACTCAGATATGAATTGTGAGATAGCAGGCATTCAAATAAAAATAAAAGTTCTTTTGGTAATGAGGAAGAAAACATAAACTTAACTATTTTTAAATGAGGATCAACAGCTTTGGGTTGAGGGGATTATTAATACTAAGTAGAAATTTAGAATTAATCTTAAGATAAAAAAGGTTTTAGGGAAGATTTTAAAAACAGGGATATATATATATATATATATATATATATATATATCCTTCTAACTTTAGAAAGATCAGTGATGTACTAGATTAGACAAGTGGGTAGTGAATAGTGTATTTGAAGAGGCAGAGAGCTTTTGAGGCAATTACCTTAGTAGCTGTCATAGAGGAAATTATGAGGTCAGCTGTAAGAAAAGTACATGCTTATAAGGCAGAATATAGTTACTCCGCTCATGGTGCTTTCCTTGGAGATCTTAAAGTGCTGGGTAATTTAATGCAGTGATTAAAGATAAAGTGATTTGCGTGTGTGACAGAAAAAGTGATAGAATGATCCTTAATAGGGATGGGTAAGCCAATTGGAAGAATGGTGGCAGACACTGGGCAGAACAATGGCAGAATTAAGTAAGACCCAATTCTGTTTTGGACAAATCTGTTTTACAATAAAGTAATTTTATAAAGGTGAAGAATATGTGAACGACTACCTCAAACTAGGCAGGTATGTGTATTGAAAGCCAAACAGAAGCCAAACATAGACAACCGTTCTTTAATTAACCAAATATGTCATATTTTCATTAGTAGTTTTCCTCTGTATTTATCTTATATACTTTTTTGTTGTATTTAGCACATGTATGTATCATTTGTTGTATATGATTTTGAGAAGGACCTATATTTATTTCACCTTTTCAGCATCCTTTGAAAATCAATAACTTTATTTCATTTAATTCTTCAAACAAACGAGATGTAACTATTAATTCACAACTAGTGAAAGAGTTGAGATTGTGGACATTCCCTATTTTTGCTTTTGTCATGAAGATACAAGAACTCATAGTTATTACGGAAAGTGACTCAGCTACCTGTGTATGCTTACATTATTTAATGTAACATTATTTAATGGACAAATTATACATGAAAACATACGTGAGTTTTTCTGTCTACTCATGAACTCTAAAATATATGATATTCTTGGATGTTTTATGAAATCATTTTATCATAGTCTTAGTTATTATCACACATAATGTATAAATAAAGCATATCTAGAAACTTACATTGATATATTGATATATTAAGATATATGTTTTAATATTAGTATCTTCTTTTTAAAAAATTCTAGACATTAAATCAGCATGGTATATGTGGATTAACCTATTAGCGCATGTCCACCCAATATTTTTGAAGTTATATAATTTGGATGTATGTGTGTCCATACATATGTGTTTGTGTGTGTGTGTATGTGAGGAGAGAGAAAGAGACAGAGAATAATTTCAATCTCAGACCATAAATTTGTAAATACATAATTTGATACTTTGCTGCAAGAAAAATTTATATATACTTAGCATTTCTAATGCTCCAAAATTTAGAAGTCAATTCAAAATGTCTAATTATATAATCATGGAAAAAAGAGAACAGAATGATTCTGTTCCTTGAAAAGTAATCATAAGATCTAGGTAGTTTCTCATAACCTCAGTGGTTTTAATAACACCACAGTTTTCCCCATCTTTTAACCTTATAAGAAAAAGAAAAACACAGCTATAAATAGAAGAATTATATATAATTTATTACATCTCTGGGTGTCAGAACATTCCTTGTATTTTTATAATAGATGCTCAATAAACAATTTATACTAAAGTTAAGTATGTATGAAAAAATTTAAAACCTACATTGTTTCAGTCACATCCATAATATTTCGAGAAACAGTAGCCCCATCGACACAGAACACTAATGTTGGAATAAACTACGTACTGGCCATTCCATTGGGCAAGCACAATACCAGAAGATGACTGAGAGACTGGAAATAGGTTTTCTTAACATATGTTTTAAATTCATGGCTACCAAGAAATGACTTTAACATACCATCTTCATTAACAACAATATTGGCAGTTTGCTACTGATCAATTTCTCCACAATTGGCAAATAAACCTGCCCGTCAGTCGTACTGAAGCTCATTTCTGAAGCTAGTTTGGGTTATGCTCGAGATCACTGCCACCAATCTTGGTTTTTAAAATAATGGATGACTAAGAAAATGCCAGCATAATTTAGTGTCTCTTGACATTTCTGAATGAAGATAAACATCTTCACATAAGAACTGCATTATAGTCAAAAGAATCACATTACTGATGTCTAAGATTCACACAAGGACCCTACCTGTGTGGGATAGTTAAAATTAATTCCAACAGAAATTTTATTTTAAATTATGACCAATTTGAAACATTCAATGGCCTTTGTTTTTCTTTTCTTTAGCCAATTTATTCTTCTATTAATGACAGTTCTCTCCAGGAAATAGTATTTTATTTATTTCAATTCAGCACAAAGGGGAAAAGTTCTTTCTTAAACTTAGTCTCTCTTGGAAGCCAATGTATGATATACATTAGTGGTTTCTGTCAAATTAAGTGTTACTATCCATCCTGATGTGTCCTTAACACCACTTGGTTGTGATTTTAATTGGGCCTCATGGGTTGTCTCTCTTTCATAATCAGACTATTAGACAAACTGAAGCATCAGTGGGTAGAGTGGTGTGGGCCCTTTCAGCCTGGAAATTAGAAAAAAAAAAAAAACACCATCCAAAAACACTGAAATAATTAGTTCTGCATCAAGGATATATCAACGTAGAACACAGACCTACTCAAGTCATATAGCATTTTTACTAATTAGCACATGAATCTTTGGTATTGTTTTCAATGTACTCAGCAGGGACGGTGACTTCTGTATCTACTAATAAATTATTCTATTTGCAAAGAAATCATGGCCGAGGAGTTGAACAACAAGTAATAACATTTTTCTCACGGCCAGGATTCTCAGTAACATTTTGTGATCGACTACCAGCACTTTAAAGTTTGTTTTTCAACTTGTGCTTTTACTTTCTATCAAGTCATTCTTCTTACACAAAAAGACTTTGTTACAATAATGTGTGATGCATCTCCTAAAAGCTGACAGAGTTGTGAACCCGCATCTTAATGGAATATTCAGTGTTATTACTGTCATTACTAGGCATTTTCAAAGACACCATGGGAGGTAAGTATAATTCCACTCAATGATTATTCCAGCCTGAGAGCTGCCTGAACTCGTATCACCTATAAACCTCAACAGACAAATGTCATCCAAAAATTAGAAAATGTCTTATTCTTTCAGATACTATGTTAGTAAATATGGAAAAGAGGAAAATGCTGTACTCCCGGTGTATTTAGCACAGAAACCAAGAATGGCAATAATTTAAATTCGAGTGTGATTGACTCTGCAACTCTGGGGTTAGAGCACCATTCTTGTAAATTTTTCAAACAGTAATTTATAAGTGGTTTATAATTGGCAGCTGATTTTAGTGTGAAAATTTCCCCATATCACAGTGCAATGATTTACTGCAGAAAAGCAATGCTTACCTGGGATATCAGTTTGGTCAAGGCTTTCAACATTGCTTAAAATGTGTTTTTCTTCCTGGGCATTTAATTCGATTTGGTAACAAGATTTTTAATTTATGGAGAGAGAAATTTGCTCCTAGGGAAAAGATAAGCTAGAGACAAAGTAGTTGTAAAAACTGGTTTATTTTTTTAAAAATAAATACAAAAATATAAATATAAAACATTAGCAGATAGAATTTGATGAAATGAAATTGCACAAATGCTTGTATACCAGGCTGCATATCACACCTACGACACCACATGTACATTGCTTTTAACTTAATGTACAGAACAGGATATATCTTAAATGTTTTCTTTGCCTTTTCAAAGCTTCATTTGCAAGGGCAAGACATGTATCTAACAGAAGCGGCTTGTTCATGAGGTTGCTTAAGGGAGAGCTATCCTGATCAGGTTTCCTTTATTTACTATGATGGACAACATTGAATTTCCATAGCTTTGGCTCTTGGAAGTGATTAAATAAAATGTCGTATATATTCCATGAGACATTCTACAGGAAAGAATTAATATAATTAATGAACAAATTAAGAAATAAGTGGAAAACTTGTGCTGAGTGGCAGGAAAAAATTCTCCTGAATATCAAAGATTGTGAAGTGGAGACAGTTATCCGCAAAGTTACTTTCTTTGAGCAGAGCTCAGGTGCCAGGCTAAGCGTCTTTGTCGCTCTCGCCACCACCATACATTTCTGCTAGTTTATTAAACCGAGGTCCCCATTCTCGGAGGTAATCGTAGTTTTGGTCTCCTTCAGTGGTACCTGATTCTAATGAGCTCAGAGATTCAGCGATGGAGTCGTTTCCTTCATAGGCATAGGTGGCCAGTGAGTCGTAGGGAGGCGCGGTGGGGTCCAGGTCATGCTCTTTGAGCCGCTCGTTAATGAAATCCCGGACGTCCGTGTTATCGGGGGCTGTAGGAGTCCTCCGTGGTATAAATAACGTTTCAGGAATAATATCACGCCGGAGCTTTTTCTCCTCGATAGCTGCAGGATTCCTCAAGGTACCAATATCAAAGGCCTGGGTGTCCTCCTCTCCACCACCTTCATCGTTATAGCTCACAATGTTGTCTCTGATATCCTCTTTAGATAAGATCAGAGGCTCGGTCTTCCGCTGCCTCTTCAGGGCTGCAAAGAGGACTACTATAACTTAAACAAAGACAAGAAGATGCGTTAGAACTTAATTCCCATACTGCTAATCCAGAACTCAAGCGCTACACAGGTGGGAAGGTGTTTATATTCTTGCATGAGAGGCCAGAGTTTGGGGTTATTTTTGTACTTTTGTTCAGAAGCTGAGAAGGGCTTAGCTGGGGTGGCTAGTATGGCGTTTCTGATTCCCTTTTAAAGCACTGTAGACTAATCCCTATCTCCAATGACTACCTTTTACTTACTTTTCTGAGAACTAAAGTATATTCCTGACAGAATGGAAAATATCAATATTTTGCTTTAAATACTAAACTTACATGAAGGGACTATCTTTCATGTCCTGTAAGAAAATTCCCTACAAAACTGTTAAATTGGCTGAATTCAGAATAAAGAGTAAACTCATATCACACTGAATTAACTCTAAACCACAGCTGTGATCTTCCGAGAGTCAACGTGCACAGGGAGAGACTCACATCACAAAAATTACAGTCACATACTTGTAGGAGAAAGTTAATGCAAATGCCACTCATGGAATTGGCGTTCTCCTATGTACTATCCTTAAACATTTTATTATTGATCACTTAAGACATTTGGAGAAACAGATGTGAATTCATTCAGGTGGAAAAGATCAAGGGAAAAATAATTCCCTAAATATCTCTACTTAGAAATGTATTTATTTTTTAAAGTGATCAACTTTTGTAAAAATATTTATTAATTAATTTATTTAGTATAAAATATTTTGGCTGTGTGTATGTCTGCAGGCCAAAAGAGGGCACCAGACCTCATTACATGGAGGTTGTGAGCCACCATGTGGTTGCCGGGAACTGAACTCAGGACCTTTGGAAGAGCAGGCAATGCTCTTAAGCACTGAGCCATCTCTCCAGCCCTCGAAAATGTATTTAAATCCCTATTTACTCAAAATATACTTTGTTTCCTATTAATTATATTCATTAACATTAAATGCCCTGATTGTTTTTCTTATGTTTATAATTTGTGCCATTGAGAAGCGCTTACCTTATTTTTCTTAGTTCACAAAGTCTCTCACACACAACCTTGTGTAAGGTAAAGGTTTTCAACCCTAAGTTGACAATACACAGCTTCTGATACAGAATATAGTAGAAACCGTAAGACTGACTATGTCCAGACTCATTTCCCTGAAATGCAGCTACTGTGTCTATCCTTAAGGTCAATAGGGAAACGGGAATGCAATGGAGAGTAAATAAATTATTTTCTTCTTGAGATCAGCTAAAATCATTATACTCAAGGCCGTAAAATCAACTAGTATTGTGACCAGTTAAATCAGTAAAGGGTTTTTGAGCAGATTCGAGTAAAAATGATAGCTGTGAAGCCCTCCTTGCAGTCATTAGGAGAAAAAATGATGAACACAATCCGCACATTCTACAGACAACGGGGCAATGCACTCTGGTTGCTCTGCCTTCAAACATGTTGACAAACACTTCTAGCACCATTCTGAGTGAAGATACTAAATTTCAACAGTTTTGACAATGTTGTCTCTTTTTGCTGTTGTTTGTTTATTAAAAAATAAATCAAGAAAAAAACTTTGTGGCAAAGTGTTCGGTACACTGTTTGATAAACAATAGATTATTGTTAAAACATTGCTATTACAATTTTTATTAGATTTTTAAATTGATTTTTTTGAGCTCTACATTTTCTCTGCTCCCCTCCCTGCCTCTCTCCTCCCCTTCAACCCTCTCTCAATGTCGCCATGCTCTAAATTTACTCAGGAGATCTTGTCTTTTTCTACTATTCATGTAGATTAGATCTATGTATGTCTCTCTTAGGGTCCTCATTATTGTCTGGGTTCTCTGGGATTGTGATTTGTGGGCTGGTTTTCTTTACTTTTATGTTTAAAAACCACTTATGAGTGAGTACAGTCTGCCCCAGCCATACAGCTGTCAACCACATTCAGAGTGATTGGTTTGGAGTAAGGGGAGCACCCATCCATTGCTGGTGCTATTAACAATTCTTTTTTTTTTTCCTTTTTATTGAAACTAATTATTTTCATACACTATAGTCTGATTATGTTTCCTTATCCAGATCTTTGCCTACTACCTACACACATAAATCCATAGTTCTTTTTTTCTCTTATTAGAAAACAGACATCATCATCATCATCGTAATAATAAATAATAAAACATAAGAGAAAAAAGCAAAGAGAGAGAGAGAGATACACAACGACTCAGAGACACATAAATTCACACACAGAGGGATCCAAAATCAGAAACCATAATATAAAGTAAAAGGTCTGTAAGGTAAAAAGGAAAAATGCTCTCACAAATCCTTGAGATCAAAAACCCTAAAAATTCCCATTGAGTTCTTTATGTGTTGGCCACTACTAGGCTGGGGCCTGCTCTTTAAGTGTGGTGGTTTTTATCCACAGGGAGACTCTTTTGGAGAAAATAATTATTCCTTGTCAGCACTTATCAGCTGGAGAGAGCCTTCAGGTTAGCAGCTGGGGGCCTGAGTTACCATATTGCTTTTATTTTATTTTCGGTGTGCATTTTTATTAATATTTGAACAATTCCCATAAATAATAGCCCTGCTACTTCTATTACCCCAAAGACTCCTTTAAACATTACTTATTCTGACCAGATAAAATATTTCTTTGTTATTACTGTTTCCCAGTTAATTTGTGTGGCCTTTAACCTTGAGAGGTGGTGTGTTCTGATGGTAACCCTTCCTATTCGATAACAGACTGAATTAGTCATCCTGGAAGACCATCTCTTTTCCTCTAACACTTCTTACCCAGCAGAATTATGATGCAGAGGAGAATGGCTATCAAGGCACCGGTGCTGAGGCCAGCAGGCAGGAGCAGGGCTTCCGCACTGCAGGACTGCATGTTGCCTTGGCTGTCGCAGGCGCACACTCGGATGGTCAGGGTGCCAGTGCTGCTCTGAATTGGGTAATCATTGTCAGATATCACCACAGGCAATAGATAGGTGCTTATTTCGTGTCGGTTGAAGCCGTTTTTTCTGGTTAAAATTCTGGCAGTATTATCTAAAATAAATCACAGAAGTATTACAAATAATTTGAATCAATCAATGTTGTGAATGATAGCTTTAAATAATCATCAGTTTATTTAAACTATGAATATTTCTATTCAATATGCATAATTGAATTCAAACTAAACCACGTATACTAGAAAATACAGAGAATCTAGTATCATGTATTACCATTTATTTATCCACTTATTTTGAGCTCTTATAGTCACTCAGTTTGAAAATGGTAAACATAAAAATTCATTTATGATGTCTGTACAAATGATAAATATTCTGGAGGTTTGCAAAATGTCTTTATCAAGAATAATAATCCATATAAATTTTTAAATTTATACATGTCTGAATATGTATTTTATATGACAAAATGTGCTTCAATCAAATAATTAAAAGAAAATGATACAATGTAATGTAAGCACATAAAAAATAAAGTTACCAAGATCCATTAAGATTTAAATATATAATTAAAGGTTAGCAAATATTGAATATTTCTATACACTGCTTCTATAAATAAAAATGTTCCTCCATTGGTGGCTGGAGTGCAAACTTGACCAGCAACTTTGGAAATCAGTATGGTGATTTTTCAGAAAATTAGGAAACAATTTACTTCAAACCCTACCAATACTGCTCTTGGACATATACCCAAAGGATGATAAATTATACCACAAGGACATATGTTCAACTATGTTCATAGCAGCATTATATGTAATAGCCAGAACCTGGAAACAACCTAGATGCCCCTCAACCAAGGAATGGAAAAAAAAGTGGTACATTTACACAATGAAGTACCCACTCAACGGTCAAAACAAAACAAAACAAAAAAAGACATCTTTAAGTTTGCAGGCAAACAGATTGATCTAGAAAACAATATCCTGAGGGAGGTAAACCAGATCCAGAAGGACAAATATAGTATGTACTCACTTATAAGTGGCTTTTACACATAAAACAAAGAAAAACCAGCCTAGGAACCCCTCTAGAGCCAAGCCCCTTGCCAACCATAGGCTGGTTTTTTCTTTGTTTTATGTGTAAAAGCCACTTATGTCCCCAGCTAGGTCCTTGAGCAGTAGAGAAGAAGGTGCCTGAACTGGCCTTGTCCTGTAGTCAGACTGATGACTATCTTGAATATCACCATAGAAACTTTGCCCAGCAACAGATGGAGACAGAGACAGAGACCCACATGGGAGCACTGGACTGAGCTCCCAAGGTCCAGTTGAAGAGCACAAGGAGGGAGAATATGAGCAAGGATGCCAGGACCGCGAGGGGCTCGTCCACCCACGGAGACAGTGTGACTGATCTAATAGGAGCTCACCAAAGCCGGCAGGACTGGGACTGAATGATCATGTAATCAAACCAGACTCTCTGTATGTGGCTGACAATGGAAGCTGACTGAGAAGACAATGATAATGGCACTGGGATTTATTTCTACTGCATGTACTGGCTTTTTGGGATCCTAGTCTGTTTGGATGCAAACCTTCCTAAGCCTGGATGGAGAGGGCCTTGGACATCCCACAGGGCAGGGTATCCTGCCTTCCCTTAGGCCTGGAAGGGGAGGGGAGAGGGGGAGTGAGGGAGCAGGAGGGAAATAAGTTAATTTTAAAAGGATTGGTACATTAAATAAATTTTTAAGAGGAACATGTGGATATTTAAGGGGAAACCTTCACAAAATGTATCCTTTAATTTCTATATAATTACAATTCTTTTGAACTTTCACCCAATAACAGAAAACAATGTCATATCTAAAATTAGATAAAATATTCCATCAAATTATGCAGAATACAACTCAGTGAGCTCTTCGGGTTGATATTTGTATAAGTTTATTTCTCGCATTGAGTAATTTATATAGGTTCAACAATTCTTTCTACATAACGAAATCATAATCTATGTCAAAATTTAACGAAGATGAGTCTTAAGTGGTCTCTCTGGGGCCTCTGTAAGCAGGACTATGACAGAACCAATCCTGATCTAAATCACTTTTTAACAACTAGTGCTCAGTTTCACAGAAAAATAATCAAAATTAAATAAACCCAGAATCAGGCATTGTCAGTTTGGTACTGAGGATTCAATTTAGACAGGCAGCAATCTGAAGTCTATGTGTAGATTGCCAGGTTCAGCAAACTGAAATTACGCTGAGGGGTGTTTACCCGAAATTCAAACTCAGCTTCAACATTCTGTATGTCAACTGCCAACTCTACGTTACTCTTTTCTAATCCAATTATTAGATGTGTCTAGAGTGACAGAAAACATGGACATTGCAAATCCCAAGATTTAGTGAAAACAAAAGTCTGAAATGGATAACTTCTCTTGACTCATTTATGTGAACATTCTACTGGATGAAATTTCTTGGTGAGTAGCTAGAGTGACGTAAAATGATCCAATGCCTTAAGCATTCTTATGGCACATAAAAACCATCTACAGGAAAATACAGCCAATTGGTCTTGCTAACACTTACCAGACACCATGAAGGAAGTATTGTATATTTGCTAGTGTGGTTACCAGATTCATTTGAAATATATCTGCAGCCACAGTAAGACAACTATATCTTTTTTGTGCCTACCTGGCTCCAATAAATCTGCCGCCATTCTGTTGCATCAAACTTTGTGTAATGCATGCACAGAATCTTTCTTTCCTACAGCTGTTCACACATTATCATGTTTACAATATTAACTAATTATCTGGAGCCCTTCTAATAATTTCAACATTAACTCTTCCTCTGAACACTCATAGATTGATAATGTATTGTATTATTCTAAATTTAAGAGAGTAAGTAACCTCAAAAAAATACTATAGGAATACATTACTAAATACGGAGTGAACAGATTTTTAAGCTTACATCATTAAGTTGATATGAAGCATAAATAAATGGATTGTTATGTTGCAATAATTACTTTGGGGGAAATTCCAATTTATGTCATATTAGATAAGAAAAGAGTTCAAAAATGACCTTCATTATCCTGTACTGTGAAATTAGGATTAACAGCAGCCAAACTGAAGAAAAACTTCTGACCACCTAAGGGATCATCTTTGTCAACCGCACTTATGGTCTGGATCAGCTGTAGAAAAGAGAAAATTAGAGCCATCACACTCCTGTGGGTAAAACAGGAACCATATACGTCATTTAGAAACATTCTACAAATAGCATTATACAGACTAAGCAGGTTATATTTAAATGCGTCTGTGCACTCACATGCGTGCACCCCCCCCACACACAGGGGCAGTGATAATGTACATAAAATACCATGAACTTTTGAAAGAAGAAATGTGAAAGCATGGAAGGAAGAAGGGGTGGGGAAAGATGCGATTATATTACAATAGCAAAAATAGAAGCTACAACAAAACTTGTAAAAGTAAATTGGTTTTGATCCTCATGCACAAATATTTTAGTAAACATAACTTTTAGTAATTGCTTTGCTTTTGTGAACACTTGACTTGTCTTTCAAAATGTCACGTGACATTCTTTGAGGTTTTCAAACAAATGTAGGGAAATACTTGCTGTAACTGGGTTATTTGACATGAATTAAAGCAATGATCTAGAAGATTTCATCCAATTTGGAAACTTAATGTGGGGTAGGGTTTTTTTTTTTGCCTTGCTGAAATATTAAATATGAAAATATTGAAATGAAGCTGGAATTTTAGGGTTGGGTGTTGTGTCTGAAAACTAATCCCAGTACTAAGAATCCAGAGAAAGGTGGATCTCTGTGAGCTCAAGGTCAGTGTGACCTACAAAGAGAGTTCTAGGACAATAGGGCCTGCCTCAAAAACTGCTCTTCATTCTCTAGAGGGAGGGGGAATGGAGTGGGGTGGAGGGGAAAAGGGGGAGGGGAATGACAGAAGGGGG